AGGTCCCAGCCCTAGGAGAAAATTTCCGTTCCAGTTCCAGTTATGTAGAGCTGCTCTCTTTAAACCAGTTCCTAGTGCTATATATCTTTTGGATATTTGGATGCTTGTAATATTTTTTTTTTGACTAGTGGTTGGTAATGGGGAAGACATCTGAGAAATTTTCATCTATAATTTTCCTGTATCTGTTTGATTTCCAGTAATGAAATGAGAGTTGTTTTGACCGTGAACGAGTTAAGATATCTCTGTTGCTAGAGAAACTAATAATAATTCATTAAGCTAATAAGGATTCAAGCAATACTTTATTAATAAATGGAGAAATTTTAAAAACTAAGCATTTCCTTTATTCGGTACTAGTTAAATGAATTTGTTATGTTAAAATTAAATTATTTGTGTTTGTTGTTAACTTGAGTCATTTATTATTTGTATTTTATGTCAAATTTGTGTAGTTGTATCAAGAGTTAACAATCTGACCCCAACAATACCATTTAATGAAGGGTACTTGAATGTAATTTCCCACTCGGAGTAATATGAAAAGTACAAATTTAAGAGTTTCAAAGTGTATATATATAAAAAAAAGTTCAATTTCTATTGTTTAGTTGAACTTCTCTCGTCGAAATTAGCCCATTTTGTCCAATTTTCAAACCGAGCTAGGAAAATAAAATTGTTTTGGGGCTATAATTGTAGTTTTTTTTTTGTAAAGGGGTATAATGGTAGTTAAACGTTGTCCTTTCGTGACCTCAAGGGTGAGTCGGTTTGTAACGAATTTTAACAAATTCGTATTAAAAAATATTTTATTATTGTTTAATTTATTTATTATTTTGTATCTAATAAATAATATCATATCAAGTTTATGCCTTATATAAATTATGTATAATTATTATATAAAAAAATTATATCATATAATTTTTTTAAATAAATTTACTCGTACCAATTTTTTTATTTATGTTATCATATCGAAACAACTCGGGATCAAGTAATTTCCAATTCACACTCCCCTCCCCGCTATTTATATATCACCTCTCCTAAAGCTAAACTTCTCGTCGAAATCTCTTAAAATCCTATCCTCCAAATTCAAATTCCGAATAGATTTGCAATAAATCCACAGTTCCACGGATTGCTCAACCGTTTCAATTCCCTCCATTTCTTCTCTCTCCAATTCCTAGGGTTTCCATTTCCTTTTTCCTCACGATGCCGGTGAATCTAACACCGAACGCAATTTCATCCATAAACGCCGGAGATGTGAATTCGAAGCCGCTGGTTCAGGTATTAGACATCAAGCTCATCGGTAACACTCAGGAGCGGTACCGCTTTTTGCTCTCTGATTCGGTGTTGACTCAGCACGCAATGCTCGCGACTCAGCTCAATGACCAAATCAAGACCGGTCGGGTTCGCAAGGGATCGGTTATTCAGTTGGTCGATTACATCTGTAGTACGGTTCAAAATCGCAAGTACGTATTAAGGAATAAATGTTGCAAGATCCATGTGTCTGTGTGCGCTTGCTTGCTTGCTTTGGAATATATATATGATCACTTGTGATTGATGAAGTGTAGTGATGATTTGTTTTAATGAGTTTTGCTTTGATTTCGTTATAGTTTTTGGAAGTAGAATTTCACGGCTCAAGATAAGTTAACAGTTGGATAATGAGTTTGGAAATTAATTATAAATTTACATGTACGCATTCAAATTAGCTTCATAAACATTTATTTCTTTATGTAATATATAAATAATATAATTGTTGATATATATGGGAATTAATTTTTTTTTTTTTTTTTTGTTATTTGCTTCACTGAATTTTAATATGGAGACGACATGTAGGCGTACCGTTTGGCACAAAATGAAGTGATTACTTCAAAATTGAATAGTTGACTGAAAGTTTGAAACTATAAAAGTGAGCTGGTGACTTAGATTTCTTTTCTCTGGGAATGAAAAAATTCTTTACACGATTATACTACATCAATATAGGCTAGTGATTGTCTGTCATTCGCTAATTCCTGCCTACCTATATGCTCTCATTAAAAAGATGCATCAAGTTTTAGTTTGTATCATAAGCAGCGATGGATATTGTTTGATCATTAATGTTATGGTAGAGTGGTGTTAACTAGCTTCATCTGTTTCAACTGATTTTCAACTGTATTTCTATACACGTCCGTTTTTGAGTAAGATTCCAAGTGAGAGAACACTTACGTTCCTTGAATTATGAGAAAATTATTATTTTTTTGCCTCATGAATCATGACTTCTGAGGGAAACAAGTGATGCTTATCTGATTAAAAATGATTGTTTTTGGTTTTTCGACTTTGGAGCAAATTTATGTCCTTGAGTTTTAACTTGCAGGATCATTGTTGTTTTAAACATGGAAACTATTATCCCTGACTGTGAAATAATTGGGAACCCAAAGATGTTCAGTGAATCTGATTCTCTAGTTAAAAATTCGGTGCCTGATAGCAACCCTGAGCACACAGTGTCGGCTGTCAACAAAAATCTTAACACTCAAAATTCGGGGCGTGGAATGTCAACTACCAACAGTAATTGGAGTGCTCAAAATTCAGGTATTTCTAATAATATGCAGAGTTTACAGCCAACTGTTCAACCCCCATACCAACCACCTCCAAATTACAAAAACCATGGGGCAATCATGAAGAATGAGGCACCAGCACGCATTATTCCAATTGCTGCTTTGAATCCATATCAGGGTCGGTGGGCTATCAAGGCCAGAGTAACTGCAAAAGGGGATCTCCGCCGCTACAACAATGCTAGGGGTGATGGCAAGGTTTTCTCCTTTGACCTCCTTGATTCTGATGGAGGTGAAATTCGAGTCACCTGCTTCAATGCCGTTGTTGACCGCTTTTATGATGTTATTGAGGTTGGGAAGGTCTATGTGATATCCAAAGGTAGCTTAAAACCTGCACAGAAAAACTTCAACCATCTGAAGAATGAATGGGAGATATTTTTGGAGACAACTCAACAGTGGATCTTTGCCCAGAGGAAGATGCTTCCATTCCAAGACAACAGTTTTCATTCAGACCTATTAGTGAAATTGAGAATGCTGAAAGCAATTTCATACTAGATGTTATTGGTATTGTAATATCTGTAAACCCTTCGGTCCCTATCTTGAGAAAGAATGGTATGGAAACTCAGCGACGTACTCTGAATTTAAAGGATCAATCTGGGAGGAGTGTTGAATTAACAATGTGGGGAGATTTTTGCAACAGGGAAGGTCAAATGCTACAAGAAATGGTTGACTCTGGACTCTTCCCTGTTTTAGCTGTCAAAGCCGGAAAAGTTAATGACTTCAGCGGGAAATCTGTAGGTACTATCTCTGCCACACAGATCTTCATTAATCCAGATTTTACGGAGGCTTGTTCTTTGAGAGACTGGTTTGATCAAGGGGGTAAAAATACTGCTTCTCAGTCCATCTCTAGAGACATTATGCCTGGAGGATCAAAGAATGAGATACGTAAAACTGTGGCTCAGATCAAGGACGAGGGCCTTGGAAGGTCTGATAAACCAGACTGGATCACGGTTAAGGCAACAATATCATTCATGAAAACAGACAATTTTTGTTATACAGCTTGCCCATTGATGATTGGAGATAAACAGTGTAGTAAGAAAGTGATAAAGTCGGGAAACTCTAGATGGCAATGCGACAGGTGCAATCAAGAATTTGAGGAATGTGATTACAGATATCTTCTTCAAGCTCAGGTTCAAGATCATACTGGGTTAACATGGGTGACTGCTTTCCAGGAATCTGGGGAAGAGATCTTGGGCTGCTCAGCGAAGGAGTTGTACTTCTTGAAATATGAAGAGCAGGATGAAGAAAGATTTTCTGAAATTATCAGAAGCTGTCTTTTTTCACAGTTTCTGTTTAGGCTTAAAATCAAAGAGGAAATGTATGGTGATGAACAGAGGGTGAAGATTACAGTTGTCAAGGCAGAGAAGATGAACTACTCTGCTGAGACCGGATATATGCTTGATTCGATATCACAACTTCGTTTCCATTGAATAATCTGAGAGCAAAAGTATACGACTCACGGTTTGATAGCTTTGATTCTGAGATAAAGATTGTAACTTTTAATGAGTTAAAATAGAAAATTTAACTCAAATTTGTTGAGGCTATATTCCTGCATTTCTTTATTCAACCTTGGCTAGATAGGCTCAAAACAGTACTGTGGTTCTTCAGGCCCGATTCGGTATGTTTCTCCCCATTCCTATACTTTGTTGGCGTCTTATAGTTCAATTTAGCCGCCAGATCATTATTTGTACTCACCTTCAAAGAGGTGCGGTTACATGTAATTCAGGATATTCTTATTTTCAATTCCAGTTTAGATATAACACTTTGTTATTCGCTTCCAGTGTTGGGTGTGTTTATTGTTTGCTAGGAATGTGTAGGTTGGCCTTTTTATTCTATACCATGTGGTGGTTGGATTCCCAGGCATTTTGGCTATTGTCCATACCCAGCATTGCATTCTGATTGAATTTTATGTCGTACACTCTGTGTTTGCCTAGACTACTCTGATTACGGAGTACATCACATTTGAATGTATGATTTGCTGATTTCCTTATAGAGTGACTCGTTATTGTTTTGTTCATTATACAGTTCGATCTCCTTAATTGACGAAGTTTGATATTGTCAATCGAGAATACTGGGAACACAGCATAATCATGAAAAGCATTCGAAATTCTGAAAAGAAATGTTTTATGTTTCTTGTGGGAAAATGGAATTCCAAATCTTGAGGTTCACATGATTCTGATGGAATAATAGCTAATGGATTACAGAGAACCCAAAACAAGACATTAGATAGATACAGGGAGAGGGGAAAACATCCAGAAACATATGCTAGCACCGTCTCTCAGCTCCGCTTGACTGGGTCGAAGTTGGAAACACCAATCACAGCTCCGAGTATTACTCCGAGAACGATTCCACCGGCTGCAATGCTGAGCAAGAAGTTCTTGAGGGATGGTGAAACGCCAGACCCAGCAGCCTCGGCCACCTCCGGAATCACCATTGAAGCCGTCAGTGCCGCCGCTGTCAACGCTGTTACCGCTTTCTCCTTCAATGAAGCCTTGGCTTCAAATTTCCCAATGGGTTTTGGTGCAGCAATTGCCTTTGATGGCCTTACTGGCAATGGCTTGAAGAAGCCATCGGAGGTTGGTAGCCTCTTTTGGCTTGCAGAAGTTAGTGGCATAGCCATGAAAACTGCGGAAGTAGAGGCCATTTTTCAGTTTCTTCTGTGAAATTTTTGGTGACGAATGAGAGGATGGTGTTGATATGGTGGTAATGTTGAGAAGAAAAGGGTGTTAGAGATTTTGTGGTGGTAGGGGTTGTGATGAGCGGTTGAAAATCGAGATATGGCATTCTCAACCCCATCTTGGTCCTACGTGGCAGCTCTCCGTTGGCTATGGTGGATAAGCTTATCTAGTTCCCATTGGTCCTACAGCATTCTACATCTAATGCTTCTTTTTATTTTTCTTTTTTTTTCTTTTTATTTTTTTAAAACTTTTTAACTTCGGATCAGACATTCTAACTTGAACTTGAGATAGGTTTTGATCTAGCAGTAAGATTACGGTGAGCATTTTGGGTTCAATATAAATGAGGTTGATAATTGAGTAAAGCTACTTAGGTTTAGTCTGGGTTTGACTCAAACTTGACTCGTTTTTGAATAATTTTTTAAACTTGTTTAAAAAAACGAGTCTAAAAACACTCAATTTTTTTTATATGTAAATAATCAAGTTATTTGGGTTAGGTTTACGTTTGGATTATTTTAGGCTCGTCTTAAAATTAGCAGGGTTTGAATAATTTTTTAAGTTTGTTTAAAAAATGAACTGGATTGATGTGACTTGAAGTCACAAAGTTTGGCTCAATTATAAATCCTAAATAGACCTAACCAATCAATCTATTTATATACAAAAATAAGGTTAGACACATCTAACATTTTTTTAACTCTAATAATAAGCATCGTCTATTCTTCTTTACTAAACATTTTACACAAAGGTTGAATTGCGAAATTTGAGATACTCTTGGAGGATAGCAGGGTAAGCTGGCTATGCTCAGTTGATGTTTATTAGACGGCACAATCCCAATCTTCTAAAATTTAGGGGGGGTTTGGATCGCCAGATTTGGGGAATTACATGAGGGATTGGTTTTAAATTGTGAGCGGGCTACATATCTTTGTTTTGAGTATATCAAAGAGAATGAAATTTTCATTGTAATTCAAAAACGCGTCCCGTAATTTTTCAAGTCCATAATCTTCTCTCAGCCAGATAACTCTAACCCATGGGTAGTGTGGGATTGTGGAGTTAGTGGGTAGGATGAGTATCCAAATTACTAAAACATCCTTAATTTTATAGGGTTTTTATCCACTTTCACTTTCATTTTCATCCATTGGTCCCCCTTTCTCCCGTGGGATGAAAATTACAAATAATTTCTTGGGCTATTTTACTGAGCTTCCAACTGCATTACATTTCCAGGCCAGATGAAAGGGATGTGGATCAGTCTGAAACTTGGAATAACATTCTTAAATCCCAATATTATCAATGTTTGAATAGTCAACTAATCGATAACTTGAATCGGGAACAGTACTAGTCGTGGTGTAAACTTCATTATAGTTATATGAAGGGGTTGTTTTGGAACGCTGAGATATGCAAGGTAACTAGTGAAATGCAGTACTGATGTAAACTTCATTATAGTTCCCCTTGAAGAGTATGGCTTTGAGCTGAGTGTTATTGGGGACTAGTGTGAAAGAAGACTATGCTTGCCTAGAGATAACGAGGCCATCGGTTAAAAAATCAATGAACCCTAATCTACTCCGAATTAATCTTGTTTCTCTTCCAATTAATCTCCATGAATTGCATGACAACTGTTCTGAACTGACCTCTCATCTTTATGTCAGAATTTGGGATAGTAACCAGGGATTTGGCGGATTATTTTTTAAGTTTGATTTCCCAATGGTTACAACCAAGCACACCATGAAAACATTTGTTCTCCGAAAACGATTCTTCCTGAAAAAAACTAGCTTAAAATCAGCCCCCACATCTCAAATCAGTTGGCTTCAAATCCGATTGGAACGCGAAAACCTCACAAGGATCGTTGAGATCAGTCATTCTGATTACCTTAAAATTGCCCTCTTGCATTTTGTAGAATATCACCTTCTTAAAGCTCATCATGAGTGCAGTATCAGCATTGCAGAAAGCAGCAAGAGTAGGAGAGGAATAGGGTTCTACCCTTTTAAGACTTTCGACGCTTAATACTTGTCTCTTCTTCCATACATGGTCTGTATAGTCCTCCATAACCCATAGTTCAAGAGACCATTCTGGTGTATTACAGCATAGTGCGAGCCGCCCTTGGTACTCCATGAGCTGCTTGTATGTGTAGAGTTTATCATCACACAAGGGTTTTGGTAATGGAAACGTTGTGTACGTCTCTTGTTCTTCATTGAAAGCTAGTACGTTGTTATTGCTGGCAAGCCAATGAATTGTGCCACAGACAAAAATAGTAGGATTGGTTGTGAAGATCACACCATAGGGGAGCAGTATGTCTTGTAATTGCTTCCATGACCAAGTATCTGAGTCAAAAATCTCACACCCATAATTATAATACTTCGTCGTCGATCTAATACACAAAATAAATAAATAAAATATTAGAAGAAAGGCATTACAGCAGGGGAAAACAATTTCAACAGTTTTTGATTTCTAGGGGTAAAAGTAATAATGTATGTGAGTGTATCTAGGGGGAAAAAAAAAATATTTTGATACTGATGAATGAGAACACGGAATTTAACTAGAATTATTTTAGGTTTTCTTGTTAAAAATTTTTAAAATAAACTTTTGGTAATTATTTATTTAAATATTTTTTTGAGGGATGTAGTGAGGATTAATGTATTTGAAAATTTCAATATTTAAAACCTTATAGTACATGTTTGCACTTGGTATCCATTTTGAGCCTTTTACCAACATCTAGAACCTTCACTTGTCTACTAATGCTCACCACTAAGTTAGAATTTTTAAACATTTCAAACCTCCATCTATAATCACTTATAAATAGACCCCCACCAACCCAAATCATTAAGCCAACAAAAACATAAATCACCAACAACAATTATCAACATAAATCACCAACAACAATTATCAGTATATTCCTACTTACTCTCTTGTAAGTCTTTTTCCTTTTGTAAGCTTTAGATTATTAGTTGGAAACTTAGATTACTCCATAATAATAAAAGTTTTTTTTTCTTTATTTTTTGGAGCTATATTCTAATTTTTTTCGTTCTTCTTCAACTTTGGTTGTGAATCTGAGCTAGTAAAAATTTATTTTTCACTATACTAAAAAAACAATTTATGGATTTTGTCTTTCTTCACATTTTCCTCAAAAAGGATTTTCATAACCTAGTGGTTCAATAACTGTTCTTAGAACATGGAATTTTATTTAGGTTATTTCAAAATCCAATTAACCCAAATCAGAATTGTTTCTAATTATGCTACAATTTTGTTATAAAAAATCTAATTTTATAATCACGTATAACCGAGTTGTTGGAATTGTATAATGTAAATTTGGTTTTAACAAATTTGAACATCTATAGGATTTGTATCAACCCATTAATCATTAGTCTCTAAAGCAACACCACAATTAGTATGTAACTCAAAGATTAACCCACAAAGTTAAAAATAGTAAAACCTTACAAGTGCCTAGGCGAAGATAACCGGAAAATCTTGTACCGCAAAGGGTTAGACCGCAAAACCACCATGGCGACTTTCTCAGTGTTGTACCTCATCTTCGGATTGGGCAAAGATTGAAGCTGTCTTGTACTCGGCTTGCAGACATAATACCGAAAATGCCGATCCCTCCGGCTTAAACAGCACAGAATACCTTGCTTTGAACAAGCCTCAATCTTCACATTATGAGGTAGAAAATCAAGAGACACATTCAAACCCGGAAGGCTAGACTCGTGACTAGAGACGAAGTTTGAAGAGTATTTGTTGGACGCCATGCTTTGGATGAAAAACCCAGATATGGTGCTTGTTCTTCGGCAAAAAAGATTCATAAAACTTGAATCGTAGGTCACTCGGTTCCATGATTTACATACTAGTTTGCAGCGAGACAAAGTTTCAAATGAAGTTCGAGTCAGAATCTCGAAAATAACATCAGAACACAAATGATCAGATGACTCCATTGAAGGAAACAGAAGCTTGAACTCGTTTTTTTTTTTTTTTTAATTAGATAGAGGGGGAGAGTTGAGTGTGAGTAAGGCCTCGGGTATGAAGTTTTTGTATGGAATAGGAAACCGAGTGACTTTTCCTTGAAGGACAAGTAATAGACCATGGGAA